GCTCAAAAACTGCTCTTAGTCTTTGGCTCGTGTTTAGACAACCGATTGAGCTACATATTTGTAGTTCTCACAGCGCGATTGAGCCTTAAATTGCACACTTTTTTTTATATCGAACAACTTTTTAGGGACGTTTCTCGGTTTCAACTAAAATTCGTGATTTCAAGATTACTGCGATGCTCAAAAACTGCTCTGAGAACCCGTTGAGCTGCAGATATTTAGTTCTCACTGAGCGATTGAGCCTTAAAATGAGCACTTTTCTATATCAAACATCATCTTAGGAATGTTTCTCAAATTCACGCATGCAAAATTCGGAAATTCAAGATTAATGCGATGATCGAAAACAGCTCTTGGACTTTTAAACTGGTCTTTCAACGGTTTAGGCTTTACACTGGAACATATATAAGAATTTGTAACAAAATCAAGGATCTCGTCAGTTAATGGGACGGGACTTGAGCAGGAAAATGTAAGGCTTTTAATAAAAAAAATGCCTGTAATACTCAAGCCGCATCGACACGCCGAAAAAATGATATTTACAACCGCGATCCATTTGGGCATAAGTGAATTAAACCACTTTTTAATAATTGAGGAACATTTTCAGACGAAGCACCGAAGCGACACAGAGAAAAACTTGAAAGCACTCCGCGCTCATTCACTTAAGAAATTACGTTTGCGCTAAAAGGGCCTCTAAAAGCATTTTCCATCTGTAAAACAAGCTTTCCAGCCCGAAAAAAAAAACGAAAAAATCTGTTGGTGATAAATGTGTTTACACCTTCGCTTTAGTTGCGACAAAAATCACAGGGTTTCGGTAGCGCACACATTCAATAGGGAAGAGCTAAGCGAGATTAAATAATGCGCGCACTTTATCTGACACTAATTGTTTTATGGAAAATGCCCGGAATTTTCCGGAAAATAAATGACGCATGCTTCCCCCACCAGGTATTTAATTAATGACAAAACAATAATTAATTCAGCGTCTTGGAAAAGCACGGAAACTTCACTTAACTATTTAGCCAATTTGGGGCTGAGACACGTGGGTGCGCTACGTTTGAATTATGGTCCTCTCGAGCCATTTATTTCCTGCTATGTAAATTACGAATTTAACCTCCTAATTACCCCGCTGCTGGATGGTGGACGATTCAGGCGAGAACAACCGGAAAAAAATCAACTACCGATCCAAAATTTAAATACAAACAACGCTTGTCGCCTAAACATCCAGCCCGGATGGGCTGAAACATCAATTACGCCATAATTCCCAGTTTAATAGGCGGTTTTTCTGGAACGCTCCTCCATAATAATTACTTTTAATTATGTATTCTCCGCAGCAACGGATACTCGTGTTGCGAAAGCACCTAATTGAGCACGTGATCCGGTGTCTTCATATTTGTCTCATAACTTTCGCGAATAAACAGCGAATAAGTCAAGTTTTGATTGGAATCAGCCAGAATAAATGACGGCTGAATTAGCGAAATGAATCGCGAGATTCGGCTTTGTTGGACCTTCAAGGGGTTGAGCGGCTATTAATTGCAAAAAACCGTCAAATTTAGGGCTGCGAGTTAATCGAGCTCGGAAACTTTGAAAACTCTCATCGAATTTTATATATTATATATTTTTTTTTTTTTCTAACTTTTCAGAAGATAAGTACAGTTCTGCATAAGTTACCCAGTTTTCTTGTAGATATTTGAAGAGGACTTTGGGACTAAAAAATTAATTTTTCCTTTCGCAGAAACTTGAAATAGCCAAATTAATTTTGAAAATTTACATCTTGCAAACGAATGAAGTTGAAGAGTTGAAATTTGGTTTACTTGCGGAGAAACCTCCAATTTCACTTCCAAAATAAATCAGCGCATCGAGTTCAAGGAGTGAAAAATTCTTCCGAAGAAACTTCCGTGTCTCCCGCGGTTTGAAAATTCGAGACTTTCAAACGACTCAATCTGGCCACTTCAAGCTTATGTTTATGTTTATTTTTACTTTACTTTTGTTTTTTTTTTTAGCTTTTTTCCAGTTTATGGCCTAAGCTTGACTGGAAACTCACATACAATTTCATACAACTTTGAGAAGCATTTGAACAACGCCCGAAATAAACCATGAAGAAACGTGAAATTTGCCCCTATTGACTTTCAAAACTTCCAACTTGCGAACGAATAAAGTTGGCGAGTTGAAAGTAGGTTTTCTTGTAGAGCAAACTCCAGTTTCTATTTCAGGAAAAAATCATCGCCGTCCGTTAAAAGATTAGCAGTTTCTTAAAATTTGCCTAATCTTAAAAATTGCATTCTTCCAAACTACCCAAACAGCCACTTTAAGCTTTTTCAGTTTCTGGTCTGAGCTTGACTGAAAACTCACCTACAAACTCCTAAAATCAGACATGGAAAAACGTGAAATTTGCCCCTATTGACATTCAAAATTTCCAACTTGCAAACGAATAAATTTGGCAAGTGGAAAGTTGCTTTCCGTGTAGAGCAAATTCCAGTTTCAGCCCAAAACAAAAACAGCGCAATCCATTTATTGAGCAGAAAATTATTGAATTTTGAATAAACTACCGCCCTGGAAAACTTGCTATTTGTCTCGCTTAGTTTCATATAACTTTGAAAACGTTTTGAAAAACTTGGGAATCTTTGAAGAAAATCAAAGTTCTCAAAAATCTCCGAACATCGTAAATTTGCATAATTGATAAGTTCCTTAGGTGAAGGGCAGTCAAAGAACTCACATGTGAAATTTATTCTTTTCTGTCCAAAATTTCTTAAGGTGAGTGTCGCTGTTTTGGAAAGATCAAATTTTTGAAAATCCCTCAAACACCGTAAATTTGCGTAATTGGATAGCTCCTTATGTCGAAAGCAGAAAAAACTCGCATATAATTTTTTTTGCCAAAAATTTCATAAGTGAAGATCGATGTTTCCGAAAAGCAGGTGGAGGACAAGTTAATGAAAAGAACACATTGAAGAAAAGCAAAAAAATACTGAAGAAAATGAACTTCTATTCTCTTTAAAAAAAAGTATGGAAAAGTAAGCTGGGCAAAAAAGGACTTATAAGAAATTAATTAATGACACAATTTAATTTCGAGAAAGCAAACCTCTGCAATTTGTGACCAAAATTTGCTGTTGAGCTAAGTTGATGTTCAAAAATAAAGAGAAAGAAGCAGGAGGGGAGAACCTGTTCAAAAACATACAGAAAGGAAAAAATTATGAAAAAACTAATTAATAGTGCGGCTTGACGTCCAGAAAACAAGAAACATGGAAAGACATAGACATGCAAGACACCATTGAATAACCGGAAAACTAAATGCAGCTTTATGTCCCAGAGAAATTAAAAAGACTGTTTAAGATAGGGAAGGGCCAACAAGAGGAGGACAAATTGATGTTGAACAAGCCTAAAAGTCCGAAAAAATCCACGGTATAGAGTAAAAAACTATCTATAGAAAATCTGGAAAAATGGCCGTTAAAACCACCAAGCTATAAACAATTTACTATTTACCAAGACGTTCAAAACTGGCAAAAAAATAGGCGAACTTGGCCCAACAAAAAGGGGTTGCGCTCGATCCGATAACCATAAATTGCGACTTTGTTTGTTTTCGTTAAGACGGCCTGCAAATGGCAAAGTTGTGTTTGTTTAATCTCGACGTTTTAGCTACTGCTTGTAGTTAATTGGAGTTTTGCGTGATAGCCGAGTTATTTATGAGCTTTACGGAGCCATTGTTCCCTCCTCTGGGCGGCAGCTTAAAAAATTATCCCCTAAATAAACCGGGCAAAAGCCGCTAGTAAATGTTGTTAAAGAAAGCCATGGTGTTTGGCAGCGGAAAGCCTCCACTTTCCTTGACCGGCGTTACAAAAGAGCTGGAAAGAGTCGAGACGCTTTTTTTATTAGGCCCAAATTACTATCTACGGCCGATAGGGTCGCCCCCGAGCATTTTTATGCCTTCGAGCTGATCCCCTGAATTTCGGGCGAAAATTAAGAAAAACGCCCTGTGATTTACTTTGCTCTTGCGTTTTTCAACCAAAAAACTACTAAACCAAATTAACCTGTTCGGCGAATAATCGTTAGCTGATTACGCGAAACGTTTCGACTGGCGCAATTAGTCGCCTTCGGGCGATGGAAAAATTGAAAATCCAATTACTTCTCCCCGTTTGTTGGGCAACACAATTTGTGTAATGGGCGCCGCAACAGCGGAAAAAACACAGTTTCACTTTAGTCCCATTCGGGCTTTTCCACTGATCGACCCCAATCAGCCGGGACTGAAGCCAATTAATAAATCAATCGTCTGCAGCAGCGCAAATTTACATTTGCCACTGATTGAAGTTCATAAAATGCCCAGTTTTATTCAGCGATAAAGCTGAGCAAACGCGCTCATTACTTAGTTAATGGGCCCAACTGCAACTGACCAGGCCGTAATGCCGGCATATCAGCTAAGCTGTTTCCATACGCGACTAAAGGGCACCGAAACATTCCTCAAGTGTTTAATTCAACGAGCTTTTTGTGCGCTGATACAAATGACCGAATCGCATGCACCGAATAGCTGAAACTTCATAGAACAGCCATTAGAGCCGACAAGGAAAAATGCCCGACAGTTTTTCATTCGTTCAGCTAATGGAATTGCCACCGAAATTGAATGTGGGCACTGGTAAAAGTCGTCTTTTACCAAATTTGGTTCGTACATTTATCAGGGGTGCCAAATTAATTCACAATTTGTTGGAGTTGAAAACAATCAAAAGCAATAATCAGGAAGAAATAATCGGTTGAAGACAATGGGGGCCCGAAAACAGCTTGAAATGAGTCGAAAACCATCTTTTTGGAACATTCTGCTCAATCTTGTGTTTGCTTGATTATATCAACCATAAAATATAATCTTGCAACGATATTTGATCGGAAAACCCACATATTCCTTCCTTCAAATCGCAGATTACAAAACTGGTTGGAATGCAAAAAACCTTCCAAACTCCCCGCTCCTGAACTCAAACCCAGACAAAAATGCACACGCCTTGCAGCTTCACTAATCCACCTTGTTCCAGACCACCTGAACCATGCGCTTGAAGTCTTCGGACGGTCAGCTGCAGGCCATCCATAACCGGAACAACGCGATCCTGCACTCACCCAAACGACTCAACACTGCCCAGAACAGCAACAATAAAACCCAGTTCAGTACCACCACAACTCTAGCTGCTGCCCAGTACAAACATGCCACCACGCAAGAGATCAGCAACATTTCCGCCAGCACGCAGCAACTTACGATTGAAGAGGTTGCTGCTTTGAACGTTCAGATCGTTACTCAGGAGGTAAGTAGCTCAGCTGGCAGTTGAGCAAACCAACCGAACTTTCTTGTAGCTGCGATGGTGCAACTCCGATCAACAGCCTGTTCAGTTCAACATCAACAGACGAAATATCAACGGCACGCTGGCGGCCCAGCTGCGCCTGCGGGCGTTCCCGAAGGACGAGCTTCTGATGCCGCAGTCTCCAGATGATGCCCTGGGCGATGACGATGGTGAGCTGGTTTAGCAGTACCCCAGTTCAGAAGGCTAATTTGTTGTGGCTTCAGAGGCGCTCCAAAGCAGCAGTTCTTCGGCCTCAGGATCGCCGCAGGATGAAGACCATCCCTTTGAGCCATCCGATGATTCTTCAGATGAAGGCAACGACTACTCGCAGCACTCGAATTCCGCTGATATGATGCAGGCGCCGCTGAAGGGGTTTGTCAACCCCAACTATCCAGGCTTCCAGCATCTGGCCCACACTCTGGATTTTGACGAGGATTGTCTGAACAATGCCAACAACAACAATGAGGAATATGGCGTGAGTCTTCGGGAATGCGAACTTTCTGGGTGATTGCTGGGCTTTTGCAGGTGTGCGACAAGTTCGACAGCGTCAATCGGCTGGATAGCGTGGAAAACATCCAGAAAGTGTTCCACGATAAGTCGCTGGACTTGGACGTGGCCCCCCTTCCAGACTCGCCCAACAGCGACTGTTTGAGCAGCGATTGTAGTGCAGACAGTGCCATAACAGTGAACGAGTCGTTCAATATTCGCGTGGACGAAAGTAAAGTGTTTGAAAGTGAAAAACGCGGGGAACCAAATGTTGGTAGTGTGGTGGGCGATTTTCGGAAGGAGGTGGAAGAAGAGCTGGGCAAAGTCTGCTCAGTGAAGCAGGTAACATTGGGGGCTCAGGTTAGCTGGGGGGGACTAATGCGCCAACATTGCAGCAAGTCCTGGATGAATCCCACACAGTGGTTGTTCATGAGGTGACAACCCCAGAGTCCGTAGTCCTGCAGCAGAAAAAGGAGGCTACTTTGGCAAAAATGGCCAAGAAATCCTGCAAAACCATGGACAACTGCCCAAATCAACCTAAGGTAGGCAATAG